CACACAAAAAACGTAGGGAAAAAGATAATAGCATTACGACAACTAAGACCCCACACGCTTATTTCTTCAACGAATAAGAATGAATCGTGATCTAAGTGTGGCTAAGGCTATTTAGCTAGGACCTTCTTTCTACTAAATTATAAATTTTATTTTATTTATTTTAAGATTTTAGTTTCTATATTTTAGAAATTTCATAACTCTGGTTTAATTCTTAATGTTATGTGACTAAAAAAAATATATAAATACAAACATCAAAATTCGAACATCAAAAGGGACCAAAATTGTAATTTAACCTATTTATTTCGTATGAGAATTTTAGAATATTCTGAAATTAATAGCGTGAAAAAAAAAGGAAAAGAAAAGTCAACCACCAACTACAAAAATGACATCAAAGGGAGAGTTTGATAGAGCTAACACAGTGCAAAGTTTGTCAATTCTTTCAATTTTCTCTTCATATTATTGATACCACTCCCATGTATACGCTGTGCTATTATGTAGTGTGTGTTCTTCATTTATTTTTCAAGAAAAATTATTACCATGAGGACCCAACACTCCCATTCTAATTTAAACAGTGTTGTGTGGATAACTTTCATGAAAAGTAGAATAAAAATATGAATCCTGTGTCTGCATGAAGTTGAGAGTTAAATAAATAGTGTAATTCTTTATTATTAGTTTTAGACTGTAGATAGTATTTTGAAAGAAAGTGTTTTTCAAAATTTAACACCACAATAATTATTTCACTTTTGTAAATAAATTATGAGTATGTAATCTGTACATTAAATCGTTTTTAATCTTTTATCTCACTTTTAAAATTATAGTGTATAGTAATTAAATTTGTTGAATATTATAATAACTATTTTTTAAAATCATTTATATCATTATTTTTTTCCATTTAAAATTTAATATTACATTTTCTCAAATAAATATTATATTATTAAAGGGAAAATAATATAATAAAAATCATTATTACCGCATCACATAGACATAGAAATATATATATGAAGAGTAAAAAAAGCCTATAATATATTAATATATAGAGAGAGATAAGTGAAACTAAATATGAAACAAGTAAAAAAAATTTAAAAATTCAAAATAAAATAAAAAATAAAAAATAATAATAATAATAATATAAAAAATATGTATAAATATTTCGACTTGTACAGTATTTATATTCCCATATTCTCTTATTGATGTTACCTCCGATTATTATGTTTCCCATCATCATGAATCATACACAAAATTTAAGTCAGTGTGAATTCGATTGCTTGAAAGAGATGTAATAATGAATTCATATTTTCGTGTATCGTGCTTCAAAAATTCTAATTCAAATAATTATTTGCCTCAAAATTACAAATCCATCTTGATCCGCAATAATGCATGGAAAAGTCTCTTGTTGAAAGAATTAACACAATAACATTAACTATTATGTAGACACCTTTAATGTCAAAAATAGTTCTTCTACAAAACTCTGAAGATCTCAAAAATAAGAGATTATGAAAAAACATACAAAGAATTATAAATCCTAAAAAAGTTTTTAAAAAAATAATAATATTATTAAAGTAAAAGTGAATGAGATCTTATATCTATATTATATAAAATATATATTATATTGTTTCATCTAAAAATGAGAGTATCTAGTTTTATATCCGGGATATTGTCCATTTTTTAACTCTAATTTGTTATGGTTTTATCTTTAAAAAATGTTTTGAAAGATGATGTATTTAAATTATCATTAGTATTCACTCATAAATAATATGAAACTCTTTAACTTATCTGAACATAGGTCACTCAGTCAAGTACTAAGGAGGATGTATAAATGGAGCAAGTCTCTATTCTCAACTTTAAGATAGACGTCAATGTTTTATTTAGAAACGAGAATGTCCCGACGTAATGTCCACTATTTTAGGGTCAATTCTCATATTCGAAATATTCTCCTCTTTAAAGTTCTCATTTATTGTAATTTTGTTCTTAAAATATATTAAAAAATAACAAAAAAGTAATGTAAAATTTTAAAATAATATATTACAATGAATATACTTTAACGTGATATATAATATAATCTCGAATTGAAACCAAATGAATGGATGGAAAATTTTCAAAATATTACACGAAAAATCTGATTCAATCAGTGCACATTATTAAATACTTAATTTCCGTTCAACAATTGCTTTTTGAAAACATACAAACCATATTTTAATAAACAATATATATATATATATATATATATCATTACTTAATTTAATAAAATTGAATTACAAATGAAACAAAAGTTTTTGACACACAAAGACAAAACAAGCCGGCCTAAGACAAATATTGAGGATTAAATGTATTCATATTAATTAGGTTAGGTAATTTAGGTTTGAATCGACTTTATTTTCTAATTTAACTATAATTAAAAATGTTTGTGGTGTTTTATGTATGAAAAATGTTGTTTCAAAAGTAATATTAATAATTAAATATAATATAAAATTCAATATTAAAAAAAATGTTATCAACAAACTTTTCAAAAGAAAAATGGTAGATGCTCCAAATTTGACCGTTATGTGGTCATGATCCGACCAATACATACTTATGTTTTTCAATTTACATGAAACCAATAATACTTAATTATTTGTCATATATAATTATAATTCATATTACGCAATGATTTCTTCTGCTTTGATACTTCTTAACAATATAACAAAAAACACAATTAATTTTTATCTACATAGTTTTTATAATTAAACGTTTTATTGTAAATGTAATTTTTTAATCTGACAAGAAATCAATCAATGGTATCAATATTAGTGGTATAAACAATTTCTTTGACTTAAATACAATTTCAAATATGATGAAAAAAGAATGGGAATATATCAACCACAAAATTGAATAAATTATTAAATTTATAAACAAGTAAGAATCAAATGAAGAGAATCGAATCCCTGGGGAGAAAAATAGAGTAAATGGGCCCAATTGAACTAAGGGTTGATCCATGACATATTTAGTCCAATGTCATTAATTTATAATTTGAAAAATGGTCTCTGAAGAACCGAACGCAAACCCAAAAGAACCGGCAAGACTATTCAAGTTTTTGCTCTTATCATATAAGACACTTCTAATAAATTTATTTTTTGTTACTTTCACTAAATTAAATAAAAAATCGAATATCATATAAAAATTATAAAATACTATCAATTTTTCTGAAATATGTTTAATATTAAGGATATGAGAGTGCTTTGGAAAATAAAAATAAAAACAAATCAGAAAGCTCTTACCCTTGAAAGAATCAATCTTAAATGTTTGAAGGATGAAGCGTGGAGCCCTTAAAGGAAAGACCAAACTCGGGTTATCTACTTGAATCTACACGATTTCCCATTGTCATTGTCGCTGCTATTATTAAAATTTGTACGATGTGTTTTAAATTGCATTCAAGTCAAAATTTATTTGTTCCATTATTATTACTTTTTTTGTTGTTGAATATAATTAGAAAGCATGACAAATGTTTAATACACTTCTATGTCTTCTCATTATGTATTATCATGTTTGATAAAAATTTTATTTTTATTATTATATTAAAAGATATCTAAATAGAAAGATTTTATAAATAAATTAAGTTACAGAAAAAATAATAATTATGACTTAAATTAAAACATACCAATTTTAAAGTCATATGAAATTAGGTTACTAATATGAGAATTTATGGATCGTTCCATATATTATAAAATAATAGTTTTTTAAATAAAAATATATTAATATTATTTTATTAAAAATAGTTATGTATTATAAATTAATTTGACAATAATTTAATTATCTTTTATCTAAATATAAAAATAACTTTTGATAATTTATTATTCTAAAAATTTATAATTAAAATGAATTACTAATATTAATCATTATATTATTAAAAAATATTATTAAAAAATAAACTATGATAATAAAGAATAATTTTTTTAATTTTTATTTTAAATTAAATGAACTTATTATCTTATGATTTATATATTAAATCATTATATAAAAATAAAAATTAATTTTATTAATACAAAATTTAAAATACATTTTTGCTTTTAATATTTTAAATTAATTACGATTTATTTTTTATTAGACTACAATTAACTAATTAATACGTTAACATAACGTAATATTAGGTTAAATAAAAAATTATAATTCATTTTTAAACCGGATTAGACAAGACAGGAACACCTGTTTTGAAACTTCCATATCTACAATTAAACCAATGAATCCTTCACCGATTCCGTGATTAATAGATTGTTTTTAAACGAATATAGATTTTAAAAAAATTGATAATACTAAAAATAGTTAAAATATATATTTGTAAGAAACTGACTTCTGAACTTAAAACATAAACATGGCCACTAAATCCTTCATCAACTCCATGATGAATCCATCCTTCACAGAAGATTTTATCTCTCGGCTATAAAATTTTATCTCTCGGGTGTAAAGAAAAGATTAAAGAGATAACTTGTTTAATGAATCAAACGCGCTAGAGATGAAAACATATTTAACCTAATTACATCATTATATTAAATATTTTATGTTATTAGTATGAAAAGTTTCATAATACCATTGAAAGGCCATAGATCCGTATTCTTTTCCAATATCCATTAGCTATTTAAGCTATTGAAATAATAACCTGTAAGATATCCAGAGAGTATATTACAGTAATCCCCCAACCGCCATACCACCAAAGTGTGGTATGAACATACCAGGATAACTCACGATGTTAACAAACAAAAGACAGTTACAAAACAATAGAACTGCCATAGATTACCAAGTTAATATACTAAATTTAACAAAATAATGATACAACTGAATACATGTACTAAAAATCCCAATTTGTTAGATTTTTTTTTTCTAATTGGAATTGTTGTTTGATCTGAGCCTGTTAATAATTTATGCATTTCAAAGGCCCTAATGAGGATTGTATCGGGAGGGAGTAAATAAAATTGCATGTGGATTATCGTCCCCGACACGACATTAATAAATGGCCTATGTGAACCACCTCATCTTTTACCGCGAGATGCAGGCCCACTTCGTGGACCAGGATACCGAGAAAACTGAAGCCGCAAGTGACTAGATTCAGGATTGAGTTCATCAACTTTATAACCTGTACATCAACCACAATGTCAGTAAACACCAAGAAGTTGTGTCCGTAAATTTGTGAAATCGTTAAATATAAGAAACTGTTCGCTTTCTCAACTATGGGAACACAGCTGACCACAGTAATCATATACATGCCACTGTATTCTTGTTTATTGAATCCTTCCTTATTCGTTCTGGTTCTAGTTATTTATTTAGTATTATTACAAAACTTAAATGTCCTTTAATCACTACAACATGAGAAAAAGTCTTACACAACTGGTTGACATTGCTAGATAGATCACACAAAGCCTTACACTTAATTTTCTTCTCACAACATCAAACTGTACAATGTGTTCTGTTGGCCTCTGTATATGTCCAAACAAACTTATCCAATTTTTTGTGATCCTTACCTTAATCAATGCTACACTAATATCTTTGTACACAATCATTTCATACTTTGTCCTTTTATGTGTGATCCCACCGACATCCATTTCAACATTTTCATTTGTAGACACTCGTGTCACTTTTTTCTTGTCCCTTTAAAACTCATCATTTACTACCATAGAATAAATGGACATATAACAATACAACAAAACTTGTCTGAGTTAAGTAGCTACTTTGAGACAACAACTAACTCCTGATATCTTTCTCCAAGTTGGCCAATCTCAGGTATTCTATCTAAACTACCCTCTTTAGTTTTCCATTAATTTTGTATAATTGATTCCAAATATTTAAACTTTGAAACCTCCAATATTCACTTCCAGTCATGCTCCTCTACCCTCCAGCTAATACTGCTATGTTCTCTATTTTTCTCTAAAACTATATCCAAAGCTCAAGTTTGAAGTTAATTTCTTCCCTTGATTCTTCAATTCAAAATCATATCTGCAAAAAGTATATAATTTAAGGATAGTCTTCTGCATATCACACATCCAAAACTAGATTAAACAAGAGCTTACAATTGAGCCTTAATGCAATCCTGTTAGTGAGAATCACACCAATATATTTTGTTTATTCTTATTGTCATGTAATCTTTTATTTTAGATGAAACAAATATCTGTTGTGCATTCAAACACACGGTTTTCAGTCCAATGTATCTCGATTCTCTATTTTAAATTTGTATTCAAAGCCTCACATGCATCCTGAGAACTTTGTCTACCCACTGGACCAATGGTCCTGGAGAACTCGGTGAACCTTCTTGGGTGAACTGTATATATACCCAACTCACCTCTTTGATCATTGCACCTTTCTTCACAACCTTTGTTCCTTTTTCCGACAACTTTTCAAGCCATCACCACTGCTCCAACAACCTTTACGGCCAAAATCACTATCTTCCAGTGTACAAAGGGCCAATCTACACAGATCTTGGCCCCACATCTCCACCGTAGCTCCCATGTGCCAATTTTCTCCAGAGCCAACATTGCCCTCCTCCGACAAGCAAAACCCAACCCTACCCACCTTCATTCGGCCTCCTTTATTGAGTCCTACATCCGAACATTGTTCTCAAGGATATTCCTAACACTAGCACTTCAGACTCACTCAGGTATTTTATTTTAATTTCTCTCTCCAACGAGATGTGTTTAAAATCTTCCATTAACTAAAAAATACAATAATATTATAATATACATGTTAGGTTTGTACCTTACCTTACAAACTAGTTTTATAGAATTGAGTTAAGTATCTCTTTAAAATCAACTCTAGTAATGTTGAAGCATTACTCGTTATCGGTTGTTGGAATAATTATTCGTTATTAGACCGATATTGGACTTCTCATCCTCAATGTGAGAAGGTGTGTTGAAATCTCACATCAACTAAATATTCAATAACATTATAATATATAAGTGAGGTGTAATACCTTACAAGTTGATTTTGTAAAGTTGAGTTCAATACCTCTCCATTTCTAATAAGATGTTAGATGATCATGCCCAGTGTCCTCGCAAGTGTGAACATTGTCATCGTCATTACCATATTATTGATCGTTGTTGGAAGTTGCATGAAAAAACCCCTTAGCATCATCCTCATGTTACTCCTACCACCTATGAGGAGTTTGTTGAGTGGTTTGAGAACCACTAGAGCTTTGGTGCTTCTTGCTTTGATTGCACAATCTGGTAAATCTATTATTTTCGTTTTTCATCCAAAATCTTATGTCCACACCCCTTAACAAAATGGGGTGGCTATAAAAGAATCTTATTAAGATCACACATACTCTTCTCCTTCGTGGAAATGTTCTCCAACACTTCTAGGGAGATGTAGTCTTCATAGACGGCTACCTCATCAATTGTACAACATTTAATGTCATAAATAATCTAATTCCCCATTTTCAAACACATCTTTGTATAAACCCTCCTAATCAATTTGGCTCCACGTGCCTTAGCCATAATTTAACTCCAATTATTGACAAATTGTCAGACACAATACATCAAAAGAGTCTTCTAGGTTATTAGGTCACACAAAGGTTGTCATTGTTTATCTCGTACCTTCAAAACTATTCCATATCAATTCATGTCTCATTTTTTTAGTCAAATTTTTATTTTGATAATTCTAATTCTTCTCACAAAATGGGGTCTCCTACCACAGGTAACCTTATGTTTGTTCCACTTCCAACCATTTCTCAAGATGATCTTGTGGTGCCCATTGATGTTCCCCAAGCAAAGACCCAATAGCAACCACTTCAAACATATAAAATTTGCTCACAACCTATTAACATTAATGCACAAGCTCATGTGACGAGTCATGGCATGATGTAGTACAGGTCATAGAGACTTTTCTCTAATGCCTTCTTCCTTACCAAATTCGAGTCTACCTATTGAACTTGATTGGCCTATTGATCTAAGGAATGGTATTTGTTCCACTCATAAATCATTTCCCTGTTATATTAAACTTAATTATTGTTATTCTTCTTTAAATTCTATTTTCCTTTCTTATTTGTCTTCTATTTCTATTCCTAACTTAAAATAGATAATAGGAAAATAAAGGATGTTTTTAAGAGCTTTAACTTTTCTCTTGTGTTCTCTTATTTAAAGGGAATAAAGATACAGATTCTGAGATACAATAAATAGGAGAAAATGATTAAATCTAGAGAAGATAAACAGATACATTCTAGGAACTAGGTCAATAATTAGATACAACTAATCTAATAAATACTCAACACTCCCCCTCAAGCTAAAACATACAAATTGTATGTACCAATCTTGAAACAAATGAATTCCATTTGAGGCTCTCTCAAAGATTTTGTTAATGCGTCTGCAAGCTAATCATTGGAACCAACAAACTCAATACAAATTTCTTTAGACAACAACTTCTCCCGAACAAAGTGACACTCAATCTCAATATGCTTAATCCTCTCATGAAATAGTGGGTTGGAAGCAATGTGGAGAGCAGCTTGATTATCACAATACATCTTCATAGGTTAAATCTCACAGAAGTTCAGTTCTTGCAAGAACTGTTTTACCTATTCAAGTTCACAAGTGAGAGACGTCATTACCCTATATTCAGCTTCAGCAAAGGATCGGATAACAACGTTTTGCTTTTTGCTTTTTTATAAAATGATATTACCTCCAAGGAAAACACAATAGGCTGTAGTGGATTGCCTGTCCATAGGAGATTCAGCCCAGTCAGCATCACAGTACCCAAAAATTTGGGTATTTCCCTTATCTTCATATTGTCCTGAAGCTCTTTTAATGTATCTTAGGATTCGAATGATAACATTCCAATGATCAACACAAGGGACTTACATAAATTGACTAACAATACCAACTGCAAACGACAAATCAGGTCTAGTAATAGTCAAATAGATAAGTTTCCCAACCAGTCTTCTTATCTTTCTGGGTCAGAGAAAGCTTCATCTTGTCCTGCCATTAATTTTAAATTCAGATCTATAGGACTGTCCACAGTTTGCAATCAATCATACCTGTCTCTTTTAGAATATATAGAGCATATTTCCTTTGAGAAATGACAATACCTTCTCTTGATTGAGCCACTTCAATACCTAAGAAATATTTTAGATTTTCAAGATCCTTAGTCTGAAAATGACTACTTAAGTGCTTTTTTAGCTAAGATATTCTAGGAACATCATTCCATGTGATAACAATATCATCAACGTACACAATTAAATAAACATGTTTGTCAGGGGTAGTATGACAATAAAATACTAAATATATGCTTCGCTTCATTTTAATCCAAAAGCTTGAACAATAGAGCTGAATTTTTCAAACCAAGCACGTGGAGACTATTTTAGGCCATAGAGAGATCGACGTAATTTACAAACCAAACCAGACTCTCCCTGAGCAACAAATCCAAGAGGTTGCTCCATGTAAACTTCTTCTTCTAAGTCACCGTGCAAAAAAACATTTTTAATATCCAATTGATGAAGAAGTCAATGACTAATGATGGCCATGGCAAGGAACAGGTGGACAGTGGTCATTTTGGCTACAAGAGAAAAAGTATCACAATAATCAAGTCCATATATCTTAGTATACCCTTTAGTCACTAACCTGGCTTTGAGACGATCAACTTGACAATTAAGCCCAACTTTAATAGCGTAGATCCAATGACAACCAACTATTTTCTTCCCCGAAGGGAGAGGAACTAGCTCTCATATTTTGTTGTGATCAAGAGCCTGCATTTCAAAAATCATGGTTTGTCACCATCTAGGATGATCAAGTGCTTCTGCCACATTTTTTGGGATCGTAATAGAAGATATAGAAGAAATAAAAGAAAAATGGGAAGCACACAACCTATGATAGCTAAGAAAATTTTAAAGGGGATGAGGATTACGAGTACCTTTGCGAATGGTATTAGGCCAACTGGAGTCATTATTATCAGGAGCCGTGGTATTAGAAGATGATTGAGAAGGACCTGTTATGGGCGGCTCATCTTGGGGAATGGAATTGCTCACCTAGTTCCTGCATTGATAGGTGATGAGAAGATGTGATGATGATTCTGAAGTATTTTGGTTAGGATTTGGGGTGTCAGAAATAGGAGGTATGAATGACTCAACTAAGGGAATAGGAAGAACATGTTGGACAGAATCAATATCCTACACAGAAGAAGGGAAGAAGAGGGATAATTCAAAAAAGGTGGCATTAGCAGACATGTAGTACCTCTTGGTTTTAGGAGAATAACACCGATATCCTTTTTTAAGACGAGAATATCCCCAAGAAGATACATTTGATAACTCTAGCTGAGAGTTTATCTAAGCCTAGAGACATATCATAAACAAAACAAATACATCCAAATACCTGAAGAGAAACATGAAAGAGTGGTTCCTTTGGGAATAGAATAGAGTGTAGAACTTTATTGTCAAGAGAAGAAGATGACATTTTATTAATGAGAAAGCCTGCAGTTAGAATAACATCTTCCCAATGATGAATAGGCATATTGGCACCAGGCAATAAGGTACGAACAGTTTCAACCAAATGTCTAATTTCCTGTTATGCTATATCATTTTGCTGTGGTGTGTGAGGACAAATGGACTGGTGTAAAATTCTTTGAGAACTTAGGACATAAGAGAAATCATTAGAAAAATATTCTTTGGCATTATAACTTCGTAAAACTTTGATTACTTTTCCAAATTGAGTTTTGATTTCATTAAAAAAAGACTTAAAAATAGGCAATAGTTCTAAGCGATCTTTCTTTAGATAAACCCAATTACATCTAGAAAACCCATCAATAAAAGTAACAAAATATCCAAAGTTTAAAGATGAAACACGACTAGGTCCCCAAATATCTGAATGAACAATACTAAAGCAGAATCACATCTAGATTCATAATGATTTGGAAAAGATGACCTGGTATGTTTCCCTAGTTGACATGATTCACATTCAAAAGTTTTAAGGTTCTGAAGTTCAGGAACCATTTTTTTTTTCAGTTTTGCCAAATGAGGATGCCCTAATTGCTCATGTAACACTTTTGGAGATAAGAATGCAACACAAGATACAGATGAATTAGTCCCAAGGTAGTATAAGCCTCCAAATTCATGTCCTTCTCCAATCAATCGACCCATACCACGTTCCTGTATAACAAAATAATTGACATTAAAGGTTACTGAGCAATTCAATGATTTGGTTAATTGGCTTACGGAAACAAGACTGAATGGAAAAGAAGGAACACAAAGAACATTTTGTAAGTTTAAAGAAAGAGAGATGAATACTTGATAAATCCCTTTAGAGGCTACTTTAGATCCATTGGCTAAAGATATGAGATGGGAGGTTTTAGGAAATGATAGAGAGGAGAATAAAGAGGTATTACCACATGTGGTCATAAGCACCTGAGTCAATAATCCACAGATTTTGACTTTCCACAGATTGCGAAATGTTAGCGATTGACGAATTTGGAGTTGTAGATGTTTGAGCCACACTAGTTGATTTCATCCTTAAATATTCTTGATACTCTTCATGAGAGAACTTGGCCTCAACAACTTCAGATTTTGAAGTATTGATTATCTTATCAGGATAGTCATGAAAAGCAAAGCAATTTTCAGTATGACCCATTCTTTTGCAATGAGCGCAATGAGGACGTCCTCTACCACTACGTCCTCTATTGCCATGATTACCGCGAGCAAAAATCATGGCGGAAGATTCAGTAAGTTCTTGACTATTTTTACCTTTGATAGATGGAACACGAAGTAGCCTTGTGATCAAACTCTCCATAGAAGGAACTTCATGTCCAGTTAAAATTTGATCTCTAACATGATTAAATTTTGGATTCATAGCCCTAAGAATCATAACCATATAGAATTTATCCAGCTTCGTCTTTTTCCCCTCTAATGAATATGCCTCAAGGAACATTTTTAATTCTTTAACTGCTGATTGAGCTTCAGCAACAAAGGACATCATATTGTTATCCTCTTGCTTAAGGGAGACTAGTCTATTAGCAGAATCATAGAACCATTGAATATCATTAGCAAAGATATTTTTGGCCTTTTCCCAGAAGGAATTACATGTCTTGAAAGATAAGAGAGTGCTCAAAATATTTGGTTCAACTGATTGGCATAACAGAGCACAGAGTTGATAATCATGTTTCTTCCATTAAGGAGTCTGATCTGCTGGTTTTGTACTTCCGTCGTATACTAGATGATCATGAACACCCTGTCCTAGAAATCAGAGTTCAACAAAGGAGGCCCAAGACAAGTAATTTTTTCTATTTAATTTTTCTGTTGTTATAGTAGGAGTCCCAGGAAAAGATACAGATGTTGCCGGTCTTGACATTTTTATTCAGGAAACAAGAGAGGACTCTTAAAAAAAAAAATATCCAGCAGGATGTTTGGAGAGAGAAGACCGAGGGAAATACACAAATTATTTGAACATAAAACAAAGGGTAGATTCGACTTCAGGACGACGAGGCGAGCCAAATGGCGGTGGTCTAAAGCGAAACAGCCACCGGGAAGGCGGCGTGTGAACCACACACGCAGAGGAAGCAGAGGACGAAGGCGACATGTGACAGCGCATCTAACAGAGATCTGGCTCCAGGACAACAAGGCGAGCCAGATGGCGGTGGTATGGAGCGAAATAGCCACCAGGAAGGCGGTGTGTGAACCACACGTGCAGAGTTAGCAGCGGATGAAGGCGGCGCGTCTAACAGAAATGGCTAAAGCGACCACCAAGGTTGGGTCGCGCTCCTCGAGGCGATCCTAACCCAAGTACGGTGAGTGAAACGGCGTCGGGGGACGACAACGTCAGTGGCAGACAGCGATGGACAATAAAGAAAAAGGAGAGACAAACAGAGCAGGACGAACCCACTCTGATACCAACTTGAAATAAATAATAGGAAAATAAAATATGTTTTTCAGAGCTTAAACTTTTCTCTTGTGTTCTCTTATTTATAGAGGATAAAGATACAAATTCTGAGATATAATAAATAGTGGAAAATGATTAAACCTAGAGAAGATAAACAGATACATCATAAGAACTAGTTAAATACAACTAATCTAATAAATACTCAACACCTAACACAACTGGTGAATCATTATCTCATCTAATAGAGGCAATCAATGATTGACGAGATGTGTGCACTCCAAAGTAGTGGTACCTAAAATTTGGTCCTTTTCCCCTTAGCAAATCCTTTATTGGCTGCCATTGAGCTTTACACCCATAAAGTTGACCCTAATGAGAATATTGATAGTTACGAGGCTCATCTGGTGGCAAAAGATTAAACCAAAGTGTATGGAGAAGATTACACAGATACTTTATCATCAGTAGCCAAGATGACTTTTGTTCGACTATTCTTTATTATAGTTGTCATTCATCGCTAACCACTCTTCTAATTTGATATTAGGAATGCTTTCTTGCATGAATTTTATGACAAAGTATACATGGACCACTTGAAAACCTTTCTTTTTCAAAATATTCCACAACACTTCTCGAGACATCAATCATAGGCTTTTACCAAGTCAATAAATCTCATATGCGAGTATTTTTCAAATACCTTACCATCAACCTAGTAAAAGATAAATGATTTCTATTGTAGACCTTCCTTGCACAAATCCAAATTGATTCTTTGCAATCCTCACCTCTTTCTTTATTTTATGTGCAATCGCTTTCTCAATATTTCATAGTGACTAACCTCTACAATTAACACATTTCTAAAGATATACTTCTATTTTTAAATATAGGAAGCAAAGTACTCTTCTTCATCTGGCATTTTCATATATCTCAAAATTTCATTAAATAGCTTAGTAAACCAAACTACACCATGCTCTCCTATCCACTTCAAAAGGGATATCATTTGAACAAACAATTTTACCATTATTCACCCTTTAATGTCTTTTTTACCTATCAAACTTGAATTATATGATAGTAAGCCAAATTTAGTTCAACATCTTGGTTTAGCTCTTCCATATTACAAGACAATCATTGTCAAAAGCTTACAAAAATAATTCTCTCACCTCTTTGACATCTTGTTCTATGATCAAAACTTTCTTGTTCTTCATTAATTCATCTAACTTGTTCCAAATCTCTCATTTACCTTTCCCTAATTTTGACAAGCTTAGTTATATGTTTTTCATTCTTCATTCTTCGTTCCAAGATCTATGAAAAACTCTTCAAGAGCTTTAGATTGTATTTCACTCAACTTTATTGCACCAATACAAGGCTTTAAGGACTCATTTTTGTTTCTTACCTAGTCTCGAACACTTTTACCATAATTCCTTATCCCTCGAACCAATAACTTTTGGTTTACTGAACATTGCCCTATCAATCTTCCTAATCTTCTGAACGTCTTGTCCCAAGTAAGGTTAACATTACCTTGCAATTTCTAATCACCGAGTCCAATAATTTCTTCGAGTCAAATGTTTATCTCCCTTGAGATGCCACAAATTAACACTAATCAAAAGCTTGTGTTAAGACTCTTGCAAAATCACCTTGTGATTCTAACAACTCTTTTATCAAAACTTCTAAACAAAAAAAAAAAAAAAAAAAAAAAGATCAATTTATGAACTTAACCTTCCACTCTTTTCAAGTGATTATGATTTCCTCCTACTTCTCAAAACAAGTGTTCATAATTCTAAAAGCATAACCCATAGGATGAAGACTAGTATGTCCTTCGAAATTAAGTTCTACAAAACCAAAACAATGAGCTCCTGAAAATTGCCTTACCTCACGACTAACATATTTTTCTTAATAATAAATTCATACATACTAAAATAAAGAAACTACTCCCAACAAGTAATCAGATAACTAAAATATTATGCTAACATTATGAGATATTTTATACATATGCTAATATTTTAATGATTGGGACACAAACGTGCTCCCAACAATAATAATTAGTCCAAAAGAAGCAAACACACCAATGCAGTATTTCATAGGTGCAACAGAACAGGATAAAACATAACATATCCGTTGTCTTTGGTGCATTTTGAAATAAACAGAACAAGAAATGAGGTTGAAATTTAGTTCCACAAAAATGCAGGAATTTTAGATATAAACCAGGACAGGACAAGGACGAAAAGCTGTACATTTCAGTGTGATAAATTTTGGTTTCACTGAGAGGATACAAACGAGAATAGGGTAGAGTATTCCCATTTGAATCTATTTGCGCACCAAATTCTGACTGAATGCTCTCTATCTCATAAAATCATCAACATTTAGTCTAATTTAAAAATGATACAGTTATGTGATTTACAAAACCAAAACATGGTTAATTTACTTCGTACCAACAGGTAACTACAAATGATACCTTGCAAGGCACTCATAGCAGTTGCTGCACAAGCTGGATTTGCAAAGTCCACGAAACAAAGGATTAGAGGGTCTCCACCACGCTGCAATGAACAAGTATTTCAGCCCAAAGTGGATGCAACTTTTGACCAATCAACTAAATAACCAAAAGATGACAAGCAGGCAACTGTTACAAACAGTACACTTACATGTTTGGATTCTTTGCTCACAAGTCTAACTTCTCTATACCCAACAAAAGGACGGAAAATATCTAAGGTGATGTTAGGGAAGGAATATGAGTAACTGAACTTAAATCAATGAAACTCAGAAATAGATGACAAGCAAGATGAAATTCCCAAGTGTTGTAGAATGAAAAGGATACGAGCTACTTCCCTTCTTGTGCTATCAGAAGGGAGACCTTCAACATATAAAGTGCTTGAAGCATCTGGAGGTAGAGGTACAGTCTCAGGTCCAGGCCTGGAAACTGCATCCACTGGCAGCTGACCACCATAATTAACACCCCGTCCATTTGGTACTAGATCTGGACCACCGCCCCCATGACGTCCCATGACAGCAGGATCAGCTAGTGAATGGCTTGATAATCCACCACCACCACCACCCCTAGCCAACCCAAGACCACCAACTGTACTGGCTTCCCCAGAAGCAAATGAAGAAAGTTGCTGTATAAATAAACAGGATGCATGATCTCAGAAACAAACAGTTAAAAGACCCAAAAAAAATATAGTGAAACTGCCCAAAAAACAACAGTGAAATATACAAGAAAACATAGCAATATGGCATTACCCCACTCTGAAGGTAGCGATCATAAGCAGATCCAATTGTTTTTGTGTCCTTTAGCATTCGGTGACCAGTACGGTCATCATCACGAACAATATAATTATGCATCTCATTACCTGAAGACAGACCAGAAGCCGGCATATCTGAAAGGAAAACAATAAAATAATAACAAATTAAAAAAAATTAATCGATACAATTCATTTCTTAAACAAAGAGCACAAAAAGCTGTAAACTCAATGTTGAAATTCTCATCATATATGATTCCTCTTCATACTCTGCTTTACACTGAAAAGAATAGTAGAATGTCCTTGTTTGGTGCAGCTTTATGGAAGCCAAATTATGGTATGCAGGCAAATAGGAGAAAGATGCCATTGCTTGTCAGATCAAGCACCATCAGAATGCCAAAATCCAATACATTAAAAAGAACTAATAAAGCAAAAATGACAAACATAGAAGATGTTTTAAAATGAACTGTACAAAGAGAGAGAGAAAATACCACACGACACAAGCTTCCATGAATTCAACATAACTTTCTGGATCTAATATGCTTAACTGTACATGATAAAATAAAATTTAACTAATCAAGCAATCCAAGTATCCAACCTAACAGCAAGAAAAGTGAGTAAAGCAATAAAAATTTTCAATGATATTAGAAGAAAACAATTTGAAAAAGAGTAAAAATTTAACCAGTTCAATAGAAATTAACAAAATTCATCCAAATCTATCTTATGGGAACAGAAGATGGAATCAGCCAAATAAGCTTCTTCCCCATCCAAAGAAAGAAAACACTTTCTTTCTTGGTATACAACATGAGGCTCCCTTGCTACCTCCCACAATTGTAAATAAAGGCACTTATACATTGTATTTATAAAAAAAAAGGTACAATAGAGAAGATATAGACCTCAGCCCAAATCCTTAACCCTAGTCTAAAGAACATTGAAAACGAATACTACAAGATACATAAACAACAGATCTCAACACTCCCCCTCAAGCTAGAGCATACAAATTGTATGTACTAAGCTTGGAACCAATGAATTGAATCTTAGGTCTTCTTAAGGATTTAGTTAAAATATTTGTTAGTTGCTCATTGAAGCTTACAAATTCAGTTACAAGTCCCTTAGATAATAACTTCTCTCTAACAAAATGACAGTCAATCTCAATACGTTTTGTTCTTTCGTGAAAGACTGGGTTGGAGACAATATGAAGAGCTGCCTGATTATCACACAATAACTTCATTTGCCCAATATCACAAAATTTTAAATCTTGAAAGAGTTGTTTCATCCACACAAGTTCACATGTAACAAGTGTCAAAAATCTATACTCAGCTTTTGCACTAGATCGAGCAACAACACTGATAAGGTTCCAACATAAAACCAATTGGCAATATGTGGAGTAGCCTAACATGTATTTAAACCATACCAAATGATATGAGGTAGGCGATGTGGGACTTTCAACACACCCCCTCCAACGAAGTCTGCCGGACCAGGCAAAGGGTACTTTTGACCCAACTAAAGGGCAACTTTTGGCCCATGACAATAACCGAAAAGATGTTAAGCTTTGGCTCTGATACCATGTTAAGGTTCCAACATAAAACCAATTGGCAATATGTGGAGTAGCCTAACATGTATTTAAACCATACCAAATGATATGAGGTAGGCGATGTGGGACTTTCAACAAACACTATTTTTTTTACTATTTCAAGAAATCAAATTTCCTCCAATGAAGATAGAATACCTAGTAGTCGATCTTCTATCAATCGGACAGCCAGCCCAGTCTGCATTACAATAACCAAGAATTTGAGTATTACCTTTATTTTCATATAACAACCCTTGTCCTGGGGCCCCTTTAATATATCTCAGAATGCGAATCAAGGTATCTCAGTGATCAATACAAGTATTTTGCATGAATTGACTAACTACTCCAACTGCATAAGAAAGATCTCGTCTTGTAATAGTAAGATAAATGAGTTTACCAACCAATCTCCTATATCTTTCTGGATCTGACAACTTGTCTCCTTCATCCTTCATCAATTTTTGATTAGGGTCCATTGGGGTATCAATGGGCTTCCAATTTGTTAGACCAGTCTCCTTCAAAATATCAAGAGCATACTTCCTTTGAGAGATGATCACACCTTCCTTTGACTAGGCCACTTCAATACCAACAGAATATTTCAATTGACCAAGATCTTTGGTTTGGAAGTAAGCAAACAGATGATTCTTCAATTTGCTGATCTTAGTATAATCATTGTCTGTAATAACAATATCACCAACATAAACCATAAGACACACACACTTGCCTGAAGAAGAATGACAATAAAACAATAAGTGGTCTGCTTCACTCTTTTTCATGCCAAACATCTGCACAACATGACTGAATTTTTCAAACCAAGCTCGGGGTGACTGGTTCAAGCCATAAAGAGATCGGTGTAACTTGCAAACTAAACCAGAATCCCCCTGAGCAATAAAGCCAGGAGGTTTTTCCATATAAATCTCTTCCTCAAGGTCACCATGAAGAAAGGTATTTTTAATGTCCAATTGGTGAAGGGGCCAATGACGAATCGTAGTCATAACAAGAAAGAGATGAATAGTGAAAATCTTAGCTACTGGAGAGAAGGTATCAAAGTAGTCGAGACCATAAATTTGAGTGTAGCCTTTAGCTACTAAACGAGCTTTAAGATGATCCACTTTACCATTATTATCAACTTTAACTGCATAGACCCACCTATAGCCCACAATCATTTTGTCAGGAGGAAGAGGAACAAGCTCCCAAGTATCATTTTGCTCAAGTGTCTGCATTTCATCAATCATGGCTTCTTGACATTCAGGGTGATCAAGTGTTTCATGAACATTATTAGGAATATAAGTATCAGCCAAAGAGATAACAAAAGAAGGATATGAAGGAGACAGACGATGGTAACTTAAAAAATTATAAATAGGAAAGGAATTGTGAGTGGAACGAGTACCTTTTCTAAGTGCAATAGGCCAGCTAGAATCAGAAGTGGGAGGTAAGGTTGAAGGATCCATGGTATGAGAAACTGATGAAGACGGATCTGAATCACAATTATCTGTAGGAACTGGTAAAGGTGTAGGAGGTGAATCATTATGACATGTAGACTGAATAGGGAAAGAAATAGGTATAGGCAGAACTTGTTGAATTGATGAACCATCTTCCATTGGGAAAGAAAAGAAGGGTGTTTCCTCAAAGAAGGTGACATCAGCAGACATATAATACCTTTTAGAAGATGGAGAATAACATGTATACCCTTTCTGAAGGCGAGAGTACCCCAAGAAAACACATTTAATGGACTTAGCACTTGGTTTATCAAGACCTAGAGATACATTGTGAACAAAACAAGTACAACCAAAGTACAACCAAATACACGAGGAGATACATGGAAAAGAGGATCATCTGTGAAGATAAGAGAATGTGGAATTTGATTTTTAAAGGAGGAAGATGCCATCCGATTAATAAAAAAACAAGCAATGAGAACTGCATCTCCCCAATGATGAACAGGGATATTAGCATTCAACATTAGAGAGCATACAGTCTCAATAAGGTGTCTATTTTTTCTTTCTGCAATGTCATTTTGCTATGAGGTGTGAGGATAAATTGATTGATGTAAAATTCCTTGGGAAGATAAAAAAAGAAGAAAAGGAGGCAGAGAAATATTCTTTGGCATTATGACTTCTGAGAACTTTAATTATCTTCCCAAATTGATTTTTAATTTCATTGAAAAAGGACACAAAATTGAACAAAAGTTCAGATCTGTGTTTCATCAAATAAACCCAAGTATATCTAGAAAATTCATAAATAAAGGTCACAAAATACCGAAAGTCAAAAGAGGAAACACGACTTGGTCCCCAAACATTAGAATGAATATTTGGAAAAGGAAAATTACATCGAGTTTCAGACTATTTAGGAAAAGTAGACCTAACATGTTTTCTTAATTGACAAGATTCACACTCTAAAACCCGAAAATGTTGAAGATTAGGAGTCATCTCTTTCAACTTAGATAGACTTGGATGACCCAGATGATCATGCAAAAGTTTAGGGGCAGGAGAAACTAGACAAGACACCGAAGGACTTGATTTTAGATAGTACGGACCACGTGATTCATGTCTTCTCCAATCAGACGACTCGTACCATGTTCCTGAATAACAAAAGAATTGAAAGTAAAGGTTACAAAACAATTCAAAGAGCGAGTAAGTTGACTTAGAGATATCAAGTTATACGGGCAATTAGAAATGAAAAGAACAGAATTTAAATTTAGAGATGGGGTTAAAGGAACTTAGCTAACACCTTGAGATTTCACTTTGGATCCATTAGCTACAATGATTAAGTAAGGAGTTTTAAGATAAGACATGAAGGAAAACGATGAACTATTACCAGATATATGATCAGAGGCACCTGAATCAAGAACCCATGCCACAGATTGAGAAATGCATGCATTTGGAACACTTGACATTGAAGAGAATTGAACCTGACGGTTAAACTTTCCAGATTTGAACTTCAAAAACTCCTGATACTCCTTATCAAAAACATCATATTTGGCTTCTTCGATTTAGATGCATGGACAGTCTTATCAGGAAAGTCATGCGAGGAATAACAATTTTCCTACGTGTGTTCCATCATCTTACAATAGGTGCATTGAGGACAAACTTTCGAACTACCACGTCCACCTCGATTGTTGCGTCCTCCCCCTAGACCCCGAGTGGCAACCATAGCAAAAGTTTCAACAGTCTCCACCTGATTCTCATCAACCATGAAGATGAAGGCAGAGGATGAGGCCATCTGAACCAAAAAAGATGAATAAAGCCAACGAATAGGGTTACCTATAGGATTTTTCACACACAGTTCTAAACCAGAAAACTAAGAGCACCAGTGGACTCGGAGGACGCCGACGAGTCGAACAGAGGTGGTCGGTCTTGATTCCGACCACTAGAAGGTGGCGTGTGGGACACACGCACCTGCGAAGGCTCATCGGGATGGTCGCGCGTGACAGTACGTGGGACAGTTGATGGAGGAGAGACTTGCAATTGCAGGGGGGGGGTTGCGCTCCTCGAGGCGAGCAAAACCCCTCCTTCGCCGGTCCAAACGAAGACGGTAGCAAGTAGTGACGACGATGCTAACAATGGCCGAAGCTGACAAAGGCAACCAGAAATCAGTGCGGGATCTTACCCGCTCTGATACCAACTTGAGAAAACTTATTTAGGGTTTGATTCAGTGACCAAATGCACTGATACATTATATTTACAGGAAAAAAAAAAGTACAATAGAGAGGATATAGGCCTCTGCCCAAACCCTTCACCCTAGTATAAGGAATATTGAAAAAGAATACTAAAAGATACATAAACAACATATCTCAACAAGAGAAAATACCAGATGACACAAGCTTCCATGAATTCAACATAACTTTCTGGATCTAATATGCTTAACTGTACATGATAAAATAAAAATTTCACTAAGCAATCCAAATATCCAACCTAACAGCAAGAAAAGTGAGTAAAGCAATAAAAATTTTCAATGATATTAGAAGAAAACAATTTGAAAAATAGCAAAATTTTAACCAGCTCAATAGAAGTGAACAAAATTCATCCAAATCTATCTTATGGAAACAGACAAATAAGCTTCCTCCCCATCCAAAGCAAGAAAACACTTTCTTTCTTGGTATACAACATGAGGCTCCCTTGTTACCTACCACAATTGTGAACAAGAAAAAACCCACAAGCCAAAGTGGAAGACACCAAGGCAAAGCTGCATTGGGAAATTCAAGAGGGAGGAGAGGAAGGTGAAATTTCAGAGGAGAACTCCCAAGAGCTAGATGATAAAGAAGCACCAGTAGCAAATGCAAATGCCCTCATTGAATGGTAAGTTTAGATTTTTTTTTTTTTATTAAATGAACTGAGTTTGTGAATATTCTAAATTTTGTTCAGAAATGAATGTGAAAATGGAAGACTGACAATAATGCCAGTGGATTTATAATCATAAATGTTTAGGAAAATGAGAGAAAAGGTGTGAGTGTGATGGAGAGCTCTCTCAGAGCTTAATGCAGCAATGGAAAGGAGAATTTCTTCACATTGGATACAATGACAACTCTGACACCATGTTGAGAAACATGGACAGCCCATGACAATGAAAAAATGAGAGAACACTTAAAATGGAATCCAAGTGGCTTATATTATTCACACAATACAATATGAGAAGTAACTAACTTGCAACTAAATTTATAATTACTAACTATTTATTTAATATATATATATATATATATATATATATATATATATATTCCTTTTATTTTGATAATTGAGTTTTTGTCAAATGAGATTATCATGCAACCTTCCAATCACCCTGATGAAATTTTTTTTTTTTTTTCAATTTATTTATGAATAAAACATTACTCACCCCTCCCCCAAAACATTTCAATCCAAACATACTGATATGTGAAAAAAATATAGATAAGACAAGGATGTTAGTTAGTTGGTCAGTCAGCTATCATTAATTAAGAACTAGTTGGTAGCTGCCTGTATATGAGAAGATAGGTTGTTGCATTATCGACGGATGAATCTAGATTAATGTTGATCACAGAAGTGCAATGCAACTAATTTGAGCTCTCCAATTATCTTAAAAATTAGTACCCCAAACCTTAATTGAATTTTCACACCAACTATAGACCCTACACAGTCCAATAAGCTTTTGTTTTTCTACGTAAACAAAACCTTAACAAATCCCACCCAACAAAATGTGATCGATTGTCTTCCAACAAGATCCCCGCACACCAAGTTATCAATCACCCCAGAAATCAAAACAATAACCCAGAAAATCAGGCACCCTTATAAGGCAACAAAACCACTCAAACCGCATTAATAAGCAAAAACGCGCAAGCAAATTGGCACCAATTAACGCCCAACCAAATTTTGACAATGAACAACAAAGACTTTACAAACAAAACAGAAAATTGCAAACTTTCACAACTTCGGAGGGGAAAGAGGAAAAAGTGCACAAAAGAGAACGCAGAAGCGTGGAGAAAATCGAGGGAGAGAGAACAAACCGTAGTCGGGACGCGGCCGTTTGAGCATGCCGGAGTGAGGGAGAAGCGCCTGCTGCCGGTTCCAGTAGCCATCCGTCATGACGCGAAGAAACCCTAATTTTTGGAAGATGGAAATTTGTGGAATGGACGAAACCCTAACCCTGTGTGGAGAGTGTTCCTGCTGCTGGTGTGGAAAACCCGCTCAGATTTGTTCTGGGAATGGACTTGGGAACATCTACTGCTCAAAAATGGAAATTAGATCATTGTGTTTTATTTTTGTTGGAAGTGAAACAGGGTTTAATTCTCTGAATTTACAGAAAAAATTGAAATAAAATTTAATTCTGAGTAAAAAAAATTATTAACTGACTAATAGCCAAAGGGAAAAAACTTATCTAAAACAATAATTTTTTATAAACATAAGAATGTAAAATATATTTAACTTTATATAAGATTAAAATCAATATTTTAAATATATTGAAGGACTAAATATATATATTTTATTTAAATTAAGTCACCCTCCACACCTTTTTTTTTTTTTTATCAATGCACAACTTTTCTATATTTTCATTTTTTATTTTAGTTTTCTATTCTTCTTACACATTCCCCAAAAGTCATGATCATCCTCGTCTACTCTCTACATGCAGATTTTTCCAAAATATATTAATGAATTGACTTAAACAATGTATTCTTTCAATTTTTTATCTTAATGAAAATTATGACATTTCAGAAATCTTAAAATACTGATTAAAATAAAAATAAATGAAATTGAAGATTTAACCTTTAAATATATTTTTATTAGTGTAAATCATTATTATCTATAATTATCATAAATTTTAATATTTATAAAATAAAATATTTTTATTAAATAAAGTAAAATTTTAGTACATTTATTTTTAAACTCGATTAGATAAGATAAATGATTTAAAATATAAATAATATGTTGAGTTAATTATGAATAATATTGTAGTGATATACTTAATAATGTGTTAATGCTTACACATAATTAATATATAAGTTCAAAATCTAATTTTGTAAACTAAATATTTTAATGATTTTTAACTTTTTTTATAATAAATATTGATGACCATTTTTTTCTATCCCATCAAAATCCAATATAGTACTTAAAACAAAAATCAATTATATATTGCGGATTTGAAACATTTTAAACCTTAAATTGATTGATGTGAGGAATGTGCTTACAAAAAACCTCACTCCTTTATTTTTGTTTCTTACATTCAACAGGATGGAAGTGTGCATAGAATGAGGAAATATTTTACCATATAATCCCTCAAGGAAATAAAAACTAAGATATTTATGTAAGTTTTTCTACATGACATATTACTTTTTACTTTCTTTCATTTTTCTTGTTGTTTTTAGTCTCATAATTTGTAACCATGATACTGTCACCATTATCTTGAAATACAAAATATTTATTCTTAATAACATAGGAAATGATATATGATTTGTCTTGATGAAAAGTAATATCACATTTATATTTACTTACACTACTGATTTAGATGATCAAAAGATTGAGGTAAATAATAAAAAACATATATAAAGTTACTATTATTAGTTATATAGAATGATTATAGTTTTCATCTCAATATATAAATGTCAAGATTAATAGACTTTGTCCTTTTAAAAGTAATTAAATTATCATTACAATAATATTCGTATTTTAGATAATTCCTAAAACCAAGTTGTGAAGAACGAAAAAAGAAAAATTAAAAATTTGTCACTTTATCTATTTAAATTGATATTGTTAAATTTACCATACAAAGATAAAATAAGAAAATAAAAATAACTATTTTATAATATAATTATTAATAATAAAAACTAACACCTCACCGATATATTTCAATTAGATTTAAAATATTTAAATTAATTTTATAATTATTAGTTAAAATAAAGAAGGACAAAATCATTGTTAATAATATTTACTCTTCTAAATCTTTTTAAGATATAATTTAACTAAAATATCATCAAATATTCATAAAAATATTATTTTTTTAAGAAAAAAATTAAAAACAATCAAACAACATAAATATAAATGAGTAAAAGTGTATGTATATATTCTTTATTTATTTAGTTTTTTACTTCTTTTTTTCTCTTTTCCTTCTTATCTTTTTCACATCCCCATAAGTCCATTTTATACTTGTAAATTAGTTTATTTTTCGTTTTTTTAATCTCCAAATGAAATGTCATTATTTTAAATAATATTTGTATAATAATTATTTTTGTAATAAATAGGTCTTTAAATTATCTTAAAAATATTATAAATTTAATATATTATATTTTAAAAATTTACATGATAAATTTTCATGTATTACAAAAAAATCTTCCAATAACATCAACAGAAAATCACTTAAATTGAATTCAATTAAAAAAATTGTGTAGAAAAACACTTTTGATGTTAATAAAGAAGGTATTTTTAATTGATTGAAAAATAACAATAATCAATAAATATAATATTAAAGATATCAACTAAAAAAAATGACATAATCAACTCAAGTAATATATATATATATATATATATATATATATATATATATATATATATATATATATATATATATATATATATATATATATATATATATAATTAAGAACGTCCCGTCTAAATCTTTGTATTTTAGTAATAATAGTTGTCTTCGGATGACAACCATCCATAGAGCATGTATACGTCGATTGTAACATTTGTAATATATTAACTATACACGATCTTCATCTTCAATTTAATTATTTTTTCAAATATTGTTTTCTTTAATCAATTTTAGTTGTTCAAAATTATTGAAAATATTATTATTTCAAAACCAATGTGTTAATAATATTTTCCTACCAAATTTGTCATAGTTAATAAATTTAAAACCTTTCATTTTTAATAATGCATAACATATGTATTCTATTTACTAACAAGTTATAAATATTTAATTTTGTAATATATATGAAATATGATATGTCACGATTTATAAAATAGTTCGATATAAGTTGCAAAACACAATCACTACTTTGAAATTGAATAAGTCAATGGTATGAAAGTTGGTAGCTAAATCAGTCACAAATAGAGTTATTTTTTTATATTTTTTTGCTAATTATAATAATCAAATTAAACCATAATTATTCACTAATGTCCAATTAATATCTGTTAACAGTCCACTAAGAATAATAGTAATAATATATAATTGACTAAAAATCATGACTCTAATTATTACCTTTTAAAGAAGAAAAAGAAAAGAGAGGTGAAGAAGAGAAAAAAAGGAGTTTTAGACTTTTTTATTTTTTTTCAAATGATCAAATTAACGTTATTGAAAATTTTATATTTAATTTTTTTATAAAATATTAAATACGTAAAAAAAAATCAAAATTTTAATACGTTTTTCTCTTATTTTTCCTTACTACTCATTAATATTGGTATGAAGTATATACTTTTTTTCAAGTTTTTTTTTTAATAATTAACATTTAATTAATTAATATTTTAAAAATATTAAATTAAAATTCACTGTGAAATCTATATAAGATCTGAAAATAACATTAAAACAAAATTTAGATAACATCTTAAGAATCTTATATTTTATGTAGCATAAAACCCACCAAAAAATATAGTTTAAGATTTCACGTAGAATTTTTAGATCAAAGATGCATTGTCGAAGCCCATTAAGAACCAATTATAACAATGATGATTGATAAAAATTCGTAGCTCTAACACTAATAATTGACTAAAACTCTTGACTCTAACACTAATGGTTGGTTAAGGCCCAATTACAAACAAATTTGTTAAAAAAATTGATATATTAATTATTGATTAGCGATGAATATCAATTTCGATAGTTAGTAACTAATGTTATTTTGATTATTATTTTTTTAATCGATGATTAAATAAAATAGTTATCGATGACCAATTTCGTAGCTAATTGACAAATTTCTAGTTGTGAAATTGTAGTTTAATATAGTTTTTAATTTAACTTTAGTTATTTAAGCTGATGGACCTAATAGAAACTTATTAAAATTATTGAACCAATTAGTTTAGTTTTAAAATAATTAATTAAAATAAACATTTTAAAAACTGTTATCATTAAGTTCGTGTTTGGGCTTGAGGCTCAACAAGCATCTCAACTCAACTGGAAAGTATATCTTTTAATGGAGTTGAATGAATATCTGAACACTGAAACAAACATACCCTAATTCACCACTACAAAAAAACTATAGAACCTACTTCTGGTTGAAAGAATATGAAGATATTTTTTCTCCATAACCCAAAAGTTCAAAACCTTATTACTGGGCAAGTTAGTGCATCAAAGTATTTAGGTCATAGAAACTGATCAGTGTCCTTGATTTGTTAGAACTTGATCTTTAACATGTGCATGAACAAAGTCCAAAACCCAGAAGTTAAAAAATATTTGTTCTATTCAAATGTTATTTTCTCTACCAATATACATTTTCCTCCATTCCTTTCTTTCCTTCCAATAAAAGAAAAGAGTGAAACCAACACAACATGAAACATTCTTTTGTTGAATGCTAAAAAGATGGTTCAACTATTCACTAAAAAAAAAAGAAAAAGAAAAAAAGTTGGTTCAACTTCATCAATATTACAACACTAGCAAGGTTTGATATGAGTGGTTTTGGTGTCATAGCTTCCTAGTTTCAACCCCAACCCGTTGTTCTCGCACGCACCCTTCAAAACCTTGATCAAATCCACACACATGCTCCTCACGTGCTCCTCCCACCCTCTTTGCATAACCAATAAAATCACCGCGACGCCGTTTCGCTTTGCCACGTCATCCCTCACCTTCACATTACCGCTCAAACAGCACAAGCTCCACAGCACCGCCACCGCGTCCTCCGCCGCGGCCTTGGCCGCCTTCGTCACTCTCTCCACCACCGCCGCCGCACACGATGGTTCGGCTGCAATCGCTGCCCTCCCCTCCGCGCACGTCGCCACCACCGCTAGCACCCTCAGACACCTCTCCGCCGTCGTCGCCGACGAACACGTTCGCAGCAACTTCGAAACAAATTCGACGACACCACAATTCACGAGTTCCACCTTCGCGGAGTGAGTCACCGAAACGACGCCGAGCAACGACAAAACGGCGTTGCTCAACTCCTCTCCACCGTCCTTCAAAAAACCCGCGACCAACGGCAACAATCCTTGCGTCTCCGCGATCAATTTCGAGGACTTAAAATCGCTCGCGAGAAACTCCAAAACCCTGACTGTTTCAATCTTCGATTTTACAGATCCGTTTCGCAAAATGAAAACCATTGAACCAAAGCATTGTTCGCGAGCGTCGAGAATCAGCCTTCGGATTTTCTCTGGATTTCCGTTTTCCCGGAGAACCGAGTCGAGAAGGCAGATCGCGTTTTCCGACGCGTCGATACGCGAACTGCATCCGGCGAGCGTGCGGACGACGGAGGAGTCGAAGCCGGGGAAGGCGGCAAGTTTCTGGCGATTCTCGACGGAGATAGTGGCGAATTCAGCGATTTTGGAGAGAGTTACGGCGAGGTCATCGTCGGCGTTTTGGATTTGGCGGAGGAGGGAACGAAGGTTGTCGGGGGAGGGTTCCGGCGAGGGAGGCTCAGAGGAGAGGAGCCAGAGGTGGATGAGGCGGTGAAGCGTGAGATTGGGGATGAAGTCTTTGGAGGGAAGAACCTGCATGGTGGCTGGACACGTGTCGTGTCCTGAGTCGAGCCAGCGCTGAATGCTGGCGCGATCGTATGTGACGCCGGTGCAGAGGCTTACGGGGGACCGCATCACGTCCATGGAAATTGGGCACCGAAAGAGACTCGGAACGGTGACGTATAGCTTCTCCCTTATCTTTGCCATTCTTTTTCTTTAATCGTTATGTTTTTGTTTTCTTTGTTGTTGTGCTTTCTCTTTGGTTTCCCACACACAGCACAACACAAAGCGTAAGAAGAAAAAGGGGTATTATTATTATACACACACTTGACACAGAGAGTGGTCCATTTAAACGGGTGTGTGGTCTTTGGTCAAACTTTGGTTTCTAATAACACTGGGACTCTAACAGCAAAATATGACAGAGGGGCAAGGGTGGTATTGAAGAGGAAAACGACATCTTTCATTGTTGACCAATCGTGCAAAAAATTTGAAAAATTTTAGGTGCAGTTTTGGACTGCTGTTTCACTAGGTCACCTTAAACGCTTGTTGCTCTCTTTTTCAGTAAAGTTTGGTCATCTAAAACAATTAATAAAGATGGTATATATATTAAAAAATATCTTAAAGGTATAATTGTGTCATTCTTCTCATATGAAAGTTGTGTTCATTTAGTATTTTTAAAGTGGGGTAGATTATATTTGGAAATGTTATTAATTAGCTTTGAAGGTAATTTCTCCATGAAAATGATGTAAAGACTGAAAAATAATAGCATGGATGGCCAGTAGTAAGGAATAATTATGAAGGTGCAACTATGTTACGTAATATAAAAGAATAATGTAAAAACTAAGTAAAAGGGGGAAAGTATAGGTACCAAATTCTCTCTAGAATTGTTTAATATATAGTAGTATTACGTGTGTCTTGAGAATGAGTGCCTTTTATAACTAATAAAGATTACAACAATACTTTTTTTTTTCAAATTTCTGCAATGGAATGATTTGATTTGATTTGAGTATAAAGGGATTTGTGAACAAGACTTCCTTACAAATAAGAGTGAATATTTTATTAAATAATTTTAACTAATTTTAAAATCAGTTATGTGTGAAATTTATAATAAAATATTTATTTTCATTTTTAAATAACTCTTTCTACCAGATTTATTTTTCCTTTGGCATTGTGAAGAGAGAAAGCAGAGTTAGATGACAGAAGTTAACTCATATTACCCATTATTACATGCATATATAATCATGAAGGGAAATGAGTTAAACTGAATGTTAGAGATAAAATATATTGACACGAGTTAAAAAAAATGATTTTTATTGCTTCTCAAAATAATTTTTGGCTGAAGTTTTGAAATAATCATAGACCAGAACGTCTTGGAGATTAAAGGCCAAAAATATCAATAATAAAGATAATTAGAAGTTATTAGAAAGTTATGAATAATTGTAATTTTTGTTTAATAATATAATATTTATACTTTATTATAAGAATTAAATTTGTAAAAACTCATTTAAATTCTAATGATATTATGATTCAGTTTTTTAATCATTATTATTTGTTACTTCTTTCTTTTCTTATCATCCCTTTTGCTTTTTGTTGTCCATTTTTTTCTTGTTATAACTCTATTCTTTGCATAAATCCTCTTTTACTTTTATTTAATACATAAATGGTTTAATTACGCTTTAATATTGTGATTTTAAAATCTAACTTAACACAAAAATAACTATAAACCTCTTGTCAAAGGGCCTACAGAGGAAAATAAATGACCTCAAAAAAATTACTTGTCTTTTTTATTACCTATGAGAATACATTTGTTAGAGAAACAGAAACGGAATATTTTGAGGTTAAGAAAATAGTCAAGGCCAATAAATGTATTGTGTGCCTTAATTTTTAATTATGGCATTTATTCATTGAATCCGTTATGATTTCAAAATTTTCTCATTTATTTGTATTAAACGGTTTTACTTGATTAAATATTTATGTTTATGGATTATGGTTTTTTTGTTCATTATGATTATGATTTCAAATTTTCCAAATCATTATGATCGAATTGTTTATCATGATCAAATCTTATGTTTATGATTATTTATTCCTCAAGCAGTTCTAATTTTTTTTTTCAGATTTTTTTCTAATTTATAGGTAATTCAATCTATAACAAAAATATAATAAACACTTTCTATTAAGTTTTCATATTCAATATTCAAATCATGATTTCCTGAAGGGAGAAAGTCTTAAACACAATAATTGAATCAGAAAAAAAATAGAGAAGAAATTAATATATCTATACTCATTATCTATATTATAAAGGAGATTTTCCTTCTTACAATTATTTTTTTTTGTGGCAAAAGTGTTATATATATATATATATATATATATATATATATATATATATATATATCATATTATATTATGATTTATAAAAGGAGAGATAATATAAAAAATTATAATTTATATATCTAAAAAATTAGTAGCAAAAGGAAAGAGAAAAAAATGCGATGCGTTAAAAAAAAAGTGGAGAGAAAAAATATTTTAAAAAAATTAAAATAAATTAATAAATAAAAAATGTGGACATACGTCTTAATGTACATTTCTATTTGTTTAACCTTATCATAAAAAATATTATAAAATTGAAAAATGATTAGAAAAAAATATAATAAACATAAAAAACATGGCGTTGAAAAATAAAAAATAAAATAAAATTCCCATTTTATAATCACTTGTGACATTTTGGTTTAAATATTATAGGTTTAAAAAAATTAGTAGAAAAAAAAATACAGACATAACTAATAGAAAAAAAAAAGACATAGTGAAAAATAAAAATAAAAAAATATATTTTTTAAATGAATGATATACACGATGTAACTGGATTCCATTATTTTAAATAATGAAAATGGATACATAAGAGTTTGCTACCAACTAAAGAAAAATAAAAACTAACATGAAAGTAACGAGAGATTTAGGGATTTTTTTATTTTTTATTTTTTTAACTTTCCCAATGACTTCAATGAAGTTGACCTCTGGCCTTTGCTCTCATCAATCATGTGTTCTCTTCTCCACTATACTGTTTTGCATTTCAAAAATCCTATTTATAGTTTTTAATTCTATAAAAGTGGAATTACATTTCTACACTTCAGCTCAACACACTGTATTCGTTTAAATTACAAAAAAATATGCATTATTCTTAAGTTTTCTTCGCAATTTGTTGAGTGAATCAAATTCATTACAGCTTCAACTTTACTCACTGAATCAAATTCACCCAAGGAATTCCTTCAAACAGAATTCTTTACTCTTTCTCCAATCTTTACCCAGTCACTTAAATCCATTAGGCTAAGTTTCAAAAGTATCATCACTCATTATTAAGGGTTTGTTTCACGTTCTTTTATTTTATTTCTTGGAATATTAGAATAAGAATAAATGATTTCATATTTGTTAGAATATTATGAAAAATATATTTTCAGTATGTTTATTCTTAGAAAATCACATTCCTATATTTTAACTTGTTTCTATTTTCAAAAGAATGACTAGTATCTCATATTCTCATGAAAATGAAAGTTATTATCTACCATAGTTACCTATTCACATTTTATTCTTCTTCATTTTTTTTTTTCATTTTTTTCAACAACCTTACTGTATATAGACCCTAAAACACAAATCTGAAAGGAAGTTTACTTGGTTGAATTAGTCTACAAGAGACAATTCCATGGAAGTGGTGCTTGTGCCAGAATATCTGGCCTTAAAAAATGTGGTCAATGATTCACAAAACTCTCTGGGTTTTGTGGAATTTCATAGAAGTTTGACCATTGACGCACCTTGTTTTCTTCTTCCTAAAAGTTCTAAACTTGGTAGTAACTGGCTAAAATCACAATCAAGTTTTCCATAAACAACATGCCCAAAACCTCAAATACTTTCTTCACTCCACAACTTCACCTACTTTTTTTGACAAAATCAAAAGGTTGAGTCAAGCACCAGTGAATTGAAATTAACGCCTCTGTAATAATTAAACAAAAAAAAAAACAACTATTACGAGAATTTTTATATAGTAATGTAACGTATATATTTAGTAAGAGAAGGAGCCTATTTTAATAAAATTATACAATATACATTATAAAATATTAAATTAAAAAGTGATTTGGGACAAATAGAATATAAAATAACAATAATTATGCATGAATTAATATATTAATTAAGTATACTAACCTCAAAATCCGTCCATGGATATAGTATAAGATAATTGAAATGAATACGTGACATTGGCCATATGAATTATGTACAGATAATTAATTAAAACTAAAATACTATATAGTGGATATTTCTCAATTATTTTCCATTAAATTATAAGCTAGGGTTATCATTGACGTTTAATTGGGGAAAAAGAAGAGGGGAATATGATTGTCCTATTCTAACGTCTAGAAGGCTAATTAGTTTGACCATATTTTAAGTTCAGACAAATTTTTACATTTAAAATATAATAAGAATGTGAGATTAATTTTATAGAGTGGTTACAAATGTTTAATTGAAATTCATCATTATTTTATTGTAAAAGTACATTTATACGCTTAATATGTTAACTGCGATTTTGTTTATTTCCCTTGAACGTGAACATTACTTCAAATGTGTAAACCAAGCAAAAAGTCATTCCTTCAAAGCCACACCATGTATACGACAACTTCATCCATTTATTGGAATTTAATCGAACATAACTTCTTGCCTTTTTCGGGTTCAATCCATACTTATATAGATACATTTGTTTTTGGCAATTTATTTCAATAAAATCGCAAATCATTAAAAAATATTCGATTTACTTAATGATTATCTCATAGCACTAATTGACGAGCAATTATTTTGGCAACGACAGACAAGGGTAAACAAGTTTTCGATAATTTCTCACTTTGTTGTCCATGCATTTCACAATTCTTGAGCAATCAAATCCAAGAATAATAGGACTAAGTTAGGTTACATGATTCCTAGTCACCTCTGAACTTTATCTAAAGGGACATCTTGCATAATCCTTAGTACATACCATTTTGTTGTTGTTGTTGTTATTCTACCTAAGTTCTTATTAATTAGAGTGTTTTTCAAATGTATATACCCTCTACGTGTTTGTTGCAAGACCCATCATTCAGAAGTAGTTCACATATATAGTAGGATTAGACTCAAATTGTAAATCAACTTTTGTTTGTGCATTTTATCATTACATTGTTTTAAAAGTTAAGAGTTTATACGAGTTATAACTTTGTCCTTTTAATTTTTTTTTTCAAGGCAAGGGGTGTTGTGGGTGGTATCAAAACGAAATAACTTAAGTTAAACATGTTGCTCAGAGTTTAAAAAAGAAGAAGAAGATAAATCTGGTTGTATGTTAAAAAAAATGTAAGATTTGGAATATGATGTTTGATTTATAAGTTGTTAACATAACATGTAAGTTATGCTACATGAATGTCCATTGAAGTTCTAAAGCCAATAAAAATGTAACTTATAATTAGAGGTATTAAAGAATATATCATTATAGCATTATATTTTGTTGTAGGTGAATCTTCTACATTAAAATAGTAACAAGTTAAATATGAGTTTTTTAATGAAACATTGCCTTTATTACTGTCCCCATTGATTTCAGAGACAATTAAATGTTGGTCCAATGGGTCAGGCAAATAAATATGCTGTGTCCATATAAAGTCAGATCATGAACTAATGCACTTCTGCTTTACAATTTGGCCATATGTCTCTATTAATGCTCTTCACAAATTCAATGTTTCAATGTATGAATGCCTCAAAATTTTAAATGGATGTACATTGCTCCACAACATGATGGTGAACCAACATTTTACAATAAGCTCAATTTTATTTTATGGTCCTATTAATCCTTAGAAATCGTATTGGAATTCCATTACATAAAGTAAAAATCAAATATAATAATTCAAACTAGCAATCATAGAGATATTACCTAGTATTTTTTTTTTCAATTAAAAAAAATTTAGTCAAAGTATATATTGAAACACGAGCTAAGACTGAAGAAAAGTCAAATATTCCAAAATTTCTTATAGTCAATTAAAAAGTTGAGTTAGTCCAAGAATAAATCTAAAGAAAAACCTTAATATTCCAAAGTTTCTCAATACTAAAACCCTCCAACCTAGAAATGTTTAAATACAGTTAATCCCTCTACCAAGTTAACTTATTAAGTTATTAAATTTATAATCTATTGCTTAAGAAAACAATAAGAAGGGAAAATACATCATTAATATGTGGAATTGTGTTTTTGAGGTGCAAGATTCATAACTACCCCCAACTTCATTTTAAATACAAACGTAGGTTCTCTAAAAATATACTGAAATAGCTGAAAAATGTTTAATATAAATTTCTAAAAAAGTGCTGACAATCAAGGACAATCCAGAATTGTAATTTAAATAAGGTAAAGACAAAAAAAAAAAAGTTTGAATAACAAAAATTAACTTGTCATATACTGTGAAAAAAAATTATATATAGTATTCTCTTAGGTAATCAAAAAAATAAATTATTATATAAAGAGGACTCACAAAAGTATAAAGTCATTTATCGATTTTTTTATATATAATAATGTAATATTACATAAGGGATGAAATATTATAAAAAAAGAAAGAAAAAAAATTTACGTGGCGCTGGAAGAGAATTAAAAAAACGAAACTGATTAACAAGTTATATGATGAAAACAAGTTTAATGCAGGAAATAAAGAAAGGGTTGAATTAAAAATTGGAGAGATACCCTTTTGATTTATTGCAGTGTCTGGGTGCCATAGACTTTTTTTTTTTGGGGAGGACTACGCTATTATTGAAGCACATTTAATTAGGGTCTGTACTGTGTAGTGAGGTAATGAATTTTGACTGCAACAAAATTTTCTGGGACCTCAGTTTATGCATGATCACATGAGAACCCCGAATCTCTGACCAATATGATGCAGATGGCAGAGTCATTAGTTATTAGTCATAAAATTTTGAATGTGGGTCGTTCATGATAATGTATGCTTTTGGTTGGTACAATTGAAAATGAAAAAAAAAAATTGTTCTGAGAAAATATATGTTGTTCAATGTATATCCAAATACAGGCTCCAGGATAGATACACTGAATATATTTTCAAATTGATCGTCGCTAAAATATTAATTTTGTTGTAAATATTAAAACAAATTATTAAATATATTCAATTAGAAAAATATGTTATATGATATATTTATATGATCCTAGATCATTTCTGAAGATTAGTTATAATCTACAAAGACTTCTAAAAGGAAAAAGAAAAAAATGAAACAACTAACAAGAGAACCAAAAGTGTGATTAATACAAAAGTGTTATATTTTACTAATCTTTTTCATTCTTTCAATGTGAATTGTATTATTTTAATAGCCATTTTTTTATACATCTGAAGCTTGTGGAATACATTCGAGGAACGTTTTTGTATGAGAAGATAAGTTAAAGAAGGTTCTTAAAGGAAGCAAGGGACATGTAGCCATTGGTGGTTGAGAAAGAATTTCAAAGAATGGGAAGGAATTTGCATTTTCCTTGTCTCATGTAATAATAAGATAGTTAGGTGTTAGGTGCATGAACTATCTTTAACTACTACTACTTGGAGTTAATTTTTGATAATATGCAAGTGTTTGCACTTGTATGATATGATATACTACTATACATACAAAAACACTTAGAAGCTTAAAGTTAACAAGATAACATTTTTTTTAGAAAAAAAAAAGACATATTCTAGGTGAAGGAAGCATCAAATCCTTCATTCAATTCGTATGGTGTGATGTGATAAAACCTAAAAGGTGTAGTCTTGGTTGGAAGTGACGTAGCCTTGTAGAGTGAGTCCCTTGTGGATCTCAAGACGATGAAAGAGCACATTTGGTGAGAAAAACCATAATTTTTGTTCATGTTGAAAAGAAGAATATGATCTAATCAAGAAAACACATATTATAGTTTTGGTTACATCTAAGGTCAGAAGATGAGATTAAAAAACTAGTGGATGTTAAATTGAGTTTAATATTTTATATTTGAATTTATATAATTGTGTTCGAAATTTTCTTATCAACAAACATCAAGCAATACTTGTTAGGATATTATAATTTAAAAATACCTCACGAAAGGTGTTTAATTAAATAAATAAAAATAATAGTAAATTGGCATCTTCTTTAAATAAAATTTTATTTAATAACTCACTTTAATAATAATATAATAGTACAAAATTTATATTTATTATCGTGTTAATAAATAGAGTTATAGAGTAAATATATATAAAAAAATCAGTACTTTAAATAAAAATACAATATCGGTTGCTTTCTCTGCAACGCGCTTGGAAGTTAGCAGTCGCACATAACATGTTCGATGAAATGTGATGTGACAGACGGGGTTGAACACAACCTGATAAGTACCCATCTCCGTTCATCAGTGTGGGTGATTAAGATGATTCTGAGCCATTCTTCTTAGGCAATTTTGATGGAGAATCTGCAATCCTTACCTGAACATATACTTTAAATTAACCTTTCCTTCACACCAAAACATTCATAAATTGAAATGTTGAATGTCACTTTATTAACCGTGTAAGACAACAAGCCTTAACATTCTTCCTTGTAAACAAAGTTAACGGTGGATGAGTATACTTGTACACAGGTTTTGATTTTGCTTTTCAAAATAAATAATCTAATAAATTGATGCTTATGGTTTTTTTAGGAGCCATTTTGTGGGTTTTTCATGGTATATTTTATTAAGATAAATGCTTTAAATACCTAATACCGATTTCTTCAAATTAATTTGTGGAGCGCTAGAGTATTGTTGATATATATGTACTATTTGAGTTTGAAATTATTTTTATAAAGCACATTTTTAATAGAATATTGGTGAGTTTGTTTCTGCTTAATTAAAAAAAAGTGTTTTTATAGAATAAATAAATTTTAGTTTTTTTATGTGTTTGTCTAATTTTTTTTTTGCATATTAAACATGCAATTATTTTAAAAATTATTTATTTTACAAACACATTATTTAATTACAATAGTGAATTATCTCTTTAGATGAGATGTGATTTTTATTTCAAGAGCTTAAGAACAACTACTTCAAAGACAATTCCTAATTATTCAAAGACCAGTCTCGTAATTATGTTTTAGAGATACCTTTTCAGCTAAAAACAAATTATCTTGAAAAATCGCTTCCTCAAAATTTGTAAAATTAACTATATTTCTATTTGAAGCTAAATTCTACTACAACATAAAAATGAAAATAGTTTTTTTTTTTAATTAGAACAAATATACACCTATTTATATATCTTTAAAAGAAGGACCATACATAGTATTTTTTTTTTTAAGTTAGGAACAAACTCTTTTAGAAGCAATTTATTTTATTAATTCAAATTTATTAAACTTACATAGTCATGTTTTGGAATAACTTATTAAAAAGTGCGTGTCTAACATTTTTTTTCTTCAATATGATTTCCTTTTACATAATTCCAATCATTAGGTCGTATAAGATAGCCTATACAGAAGGAGGGATTCTTTTACGTTTTACACGTTCTTCGAGAGTCTAAAACAACAATGAATATTAGAAAGGGATTGGGCTTTGCTTTTGTATTGGGCCCAACAAATGTCTTTTCTATTTGAAGCACTAAAGAAAAAGAAAAAGATGATTTGAATTTCGATATCATGAAAAGAATGAATCATAGGCTAGAAAAGGTTTCGAATCCCTTTTCCTTTTCTAAAACAAAACTTAATGAACAATTCAGCTAGATTCTTCCACTGTTTAAAATCAATATATTAAGAGTACGTTTGAAAAAGATTATTTGGAGACATTTTAGTTTTTTATTTTTTTATTTATATATAAAAAATCACTTGTAATTTTAAAAACGTGTGTTGGAATACAATAACTGGAATTTACAGAATTTTTTAATTTTTATTCTAAAATAAACAGTTTCTATAGATTATGATAAATTCTCAACCAGTTTATTCTCTTTCAACTACATATATATTTTTTAACGTAAAAACATATTACGTATTTATTACTCATGTATTTAGATACGTGTATAATGCATCCTAATCAACACTTTAGTTAGAAGAGTTAATAATTGTGCTATTGTATTTAACATAATTTTATTATATTCTTATGGATTAAAATTGAAAATGCATTTAAGTTCATAGTTTAATGTCTAAATTTTATTTTGTTCTTCTCTTAAATTAATTTTATTTATGTTTTATTTTTCCTCTTAGGAGTGCTTATGCCTAAATACAATAACAAATCTTATCAGTGATAAAAATGATTATGTTAACCAATTCCTAAGGAAAAATAGTCATAAAATATGAGACAAAATCTTAAATCCCTCATCAATATGCCACCTAACCTAACTTAAATGTTAAAGCGTGTATTTGAAAACACTGTAGATCCGAAACTCACATAAGGAAATACGTTAGTTTAACAAAACAAAATACTTCAATTAATAGAATGAGACAAAAGTACTAGTAGGCCTTCTAAAAGTTACTTTTATTATGCAAGAACATTTATTAGTACGGAAGTTACAAAAACTTTGGTCACAATTATTTAAAAATAACATGAATTATTTTGTCACTAATTTTAATTTCTTCACAAGCCAAATTGAACGCACATCTCGTAGCATTACCCAATTGAAGCACGTTTCTTCACGTGCTTCTCCCTCTAAATTTGGAAAATACTAATTTATCAAGCATGTTTGAATCCAGAAAGCACAAGAAACGAAGGTGAGTAGAGTCATGAACGTGAACATAACATTTTCTCCTCCATTTGGAACCTTTGGCTGTAAATCTCCGTCACCCAATGGTGCAATGAAAGAACTTCCATGTAAGAGAGGCACACGTAATTACCAATTCTGTCCATCCATTAACTCGTTAATCTTCTCTCAAAGTAGGAATAAATCTGACAACGATCAACAAAATTTTACAGTTACGCTTAGATCGTCTTTTTCTGGGGACATCAAATCAATGTTTCACCTTTTATGTCAACAAGTTTCCACTCTTGCATGAATTATGAGCATTGAGGTTTCCCTGTGCTGAAAACCCACAGGGTCAGTTTACAACAAAATCCACCCTCTCATATCATCAATCATATCTGTCTCTTTATACATAGAGCATGTGGGTCCTACTTTTTGTGTCTTTTCTTGTTTGGCTGCATTTCATGGCCCTACCCTTAGTTATTATGTCAAGGGAACCCAACTCCTTGGCCTATCCACTCATGCAGTACACGCCTCATTCATCAATTCCCTATGTGTGTAGGATAGCAGGGTGGGAAGCTTTCAATTTGCAATAAGTTTTCATGCCTCCATGTATTGCTCTCCCATGCCTCACAATCTCACATTACTAAGCATTTGTTTACCTCATTTTTAGAATTTGTTGTTCGTTAGGGTCACTCAATCAATCTCAAAAGCTAGTATCTACATTTGAATTTGTTTTTCAGGTTTTATTCAACAGTTTTTATCATCATATCAGTCAATGATAAAAACAAAAGGAGTATTATTGAACTAAGAATTAATCTTTCTCTTTGCTGACAATAAGGAATTTCTGTAGTGGGAATGATGAGATTAATCTTTGGAAACTCAGTGTAACTGGTATTCCATTTCTTTCTGTTACAAATTATTTCAAAGAAAGCCTTTTGATAATCTTTTTTAAGGAGTATTTCATCTAGTCTAAAAAGCTTTTCATTGAATGTGTTCGGAAGAAGTAAAGAGAGCTATTTAGGGGGTGAAACATATCCAAATTGCTGAGAGACTTTGCACAACTGTTTCAGACTTTCAGTTCATTTCTGAACCATTATTTTCCATTTAGGCCCACAAACTCACCTAACCAGACGACACTCTCCACTTTTTCCTCTCAAAATACCAGACACTCACACTTTATCTGAGTCAGAGAAACAATTTCAACAGTTAATCTTATGTGAATCTTTGTATTTAAAATATGAATTTTTTTTTAAGTAATTATGTACCATGTACCACATTGTGATATAGTAATATTTCTCGGCTTCTGGTTTTCTAATTGCCAATACCCTTTTGGCTTTTTTATGTCTTTTCTAGAGTACTACTTTCATGTGACTTAGAAGAACACACTCCCTAATGACCCGTTCTAGGTCCTTTAAAATCCTTTCCTAGTCTCTTTAATTTGACTAAAGGACTAGTGCTTCATGTTGTCTCATTTAATGCCACAAGCCACCAAAAGCTTAGCACAAATATGAATCCTTACATCCAAATCTCAAATCACATGATCTTGCATTTACTCCCCCCATGTTTCCGCACACACTCGTCCTCTACCACTTCCATTCTCTCATTTATCCTCCATAAACAAACCACTCTTGCCCCTTCATAATACACTCCAAATTCTTTAATGTTCATTTATTGAGTATGTTTGCACCCTTCAAAATTCTCTACTTTCTCTCAACATTTTCTCTTTTTCCTGTTTAACAACCCCCCTCTCCCTCTCTCTCTTTCTCTTTTCCACTCCCTCTCTTCTATTAGTATTCTCTTTTCCCTTGGTTTGGTGAAATGGGTAGAAGAAATGTTCATGCATTGCTAATGCTGCTACTTTTGCTGGCATACTTGGTTGGCACAAGTTATGGCTCTAGGCACACTCAAGTTTTCAACATGCAGCCAAAATCTCAGGGCTTGTCTCGAAATTTCTTCGGTTTCTTGCCAAAGGCAATGCCATTGCCACCTTCAGGGCCTTCCAGGCAGCACAACAGCATTCAATTACAAAACTCAAGGGGGAAACAACCATAGAGGATTATCTCATTGCTTCTTCCTTCCTCTGATCTGTTTAGAAAAGATATGTATGGGGTAATGTATAATGGTATCTTAACTATCCTTTACCATCTTGTGTATTACCTTCCCCTTGTTTCTGGAGGCCCTCTCAAAGGGCCAAATTTTTTTAAGAAGCTTAAAAGGATATATATACATATGTAACCTAGATTGAGTTCTCCATGCATCATGTGTGGAATGCTGGTTAAAGTTCATATGTATGTATATGCTTCTAGTATTAAGAGAAACTTGAAGGGTTCAAGTCATGATGTACTTTGTAGCTTCATTTGAGATAAAACTATATTGCTCTTGTACATGAAAGGAAAGAGAAACCGAAGGCATATTCAAGATTGCTCCTCTAATTATCTGCAAAATTGTGCTTCTGTTATTGATTTGCAGCTTGATAATAACATCTTCTTGTGTCCTTTTAATAATATCTGTTATTTTATAAACTTGGTCCTTTTTTTGTCAAATTTGATTCTCGCTTTTAGTTATGTAATTTTGATTTATCTATTAACTTCATGTTATAAATTCATAGATTACTATAAGATGTCACATAAACGTTTATTACATATATATATATATATATATATATATATATATATATATATGCATGTGTGTGTGAAATAACTAAAATGTACTTAGATCCGGCAATTAAGTGACAGTGTTGGGGTATAAGTTTGAATGGGATCTCCAGCACTATGCAAATTTGTTGTCTACGTATGTCCACCATGTGAATACATTGTTCATTATCACATCAATCGTGTTAGCATGATGTCATTATTATGTTAATATGCTAATTGTTGTTACATTAATACAATCTTTTTATTAAATTCTTTATAAATTGAAGGATATTACACAACTCAATTTGTTTAAAAACGAAAACTCATCTTTACTATATAAAAGTTCACATGGGTAATTGGATTACTTCAAACTTTTTTTAAACATATAAATTTAGGAATTTTGTTTTGGTAGGAGAAAATAAAAGTTTAATTAAAGACATATTTTTAATCATAAAAATATTTAAAATTAATTGTAACATCGTTTCCAAGTCAACGACCAAAGAATTGAACATCTTGAAGTTCAAAAGCTAATGAGAAGGTGTTGTTAAAAATGTGGACTATAATAATCTCAAACTGGGAAATTAATGTCCTAATCCCAACAAAAATATCAGTTTTTCTAGTAACCATTTGTTGCTCCTTCCTATGTTGTTTCAACTTGTCATCATTACAATACTCCACGCACAATTAAAAAATAAAATAAAATTCTGTGGACTTCGAAAGGTATCACAATTTGTGTAATTAATTTTGACTTGTTAATGTAACACTCAACAAAATATAGCGTGATCATTAATCAATTTGGTGATAGTTTAGTTATACTTTTCATATTATAAATATCATAAATTTATTTACTAATTAAATTTTAAAAGAATTAATTATGTTTTTAATCCTTAAAATTTGGAATAGATTATTTAGTCCTTCAACTTTTTTTTTCTAATCTCTTAAATGTAGTATAATGTAGTTTTAATTTGTACATACTAAATTTGAGGGATTTAAAATAGTTTTAAAAATTTACTTTAATCTCTGAAATTTAGGTTTAGCGACAATATTTTTGTTTCAATTTCGAGATATTAATGTAATTTTATTTTTAAATTTGGGAATCAGTATTATAATCATCCTAAGTTTTAAGAACTAAAAATATAATTAATTTTTCAAATACTACAATTATATAATTTTAATATTATTTTATTAATATATACTAATAATATTAAAGCAAACTTTAACATTAGAGTCGGTTTTTGCACAAATAATTCGTGCATGGAATCCCCTAGTGCTGAAATTAATTCCCATAATTATAATAAAGTTATTAATTTTTGAGAGATGATAAATATCATTTTTTAATAAATAAAAAAATATTTTCTTCTTATTTCCTTCTACTACTCATTCTACATTTCCCCTTCAAAGACCTAAAATTAAAAAAAGAGTCATATCATATGGAAACTCGGTTTTATAGTTTCTCTTGGATGAACAAAATCATAGTTTTCAATTTTGCGGATATAATATCTATAATGAATAAACAACTTATTTATTAACGTTGATGTGTAAGGATACAATACCTATATTTGTGAATACCCATTACATGTTAATATAAGCACACATATATACTTTCTAAATAAACTTTTAAGATTATATTTTTTAAACTATTTTATTCAAATTTTAATAACAATATCTTTATATAGTTTTTTTAAAAAGGTTTGATGGATAAATAAAAGTTGTTGATGTAGAAACTGTAATTGAAAAGTTGTTTTAGAGTTTGATTTTATTGATTAAGATATTTTTTATTTAAATTTAAATTTAAAAATTATATTTTAAAGAGATTAATTTTATTTAAATTTATATTTTGTAGTTATATTTCGACTTGTTTCTTAGAAAGACGAATTTTATTTGTACTAATATTTTAAAGTGTAATTTTATTCATATTTTTAGGGTTTGAATTTTATTTTTTGAGTTTATATTTTAAAGAGTAATTTTAGATAATTTTATTAGAAATTTCACTAAGTATTTTTAAGAAGTATTAATTCATGGACAACTGTTGATAAAAAAATATTAAAAGATAATTTTAAAATGGGTTAATGGAATGAATAATATTGTAAATTATTTTAAGGTAACTATAACTATTACTCGGTTAGAATTGAGATTATTAATCTATATATAAAATGATTTGATTAGGTGAAATTTAAATATTTATTAAATTAAAAAGGTTATAAATTAAAAATGTTAATTTTTTAAATTTTATTTTTATTAAATTACTATCTCTTTGAACTTTTAAAATTTCTACATTCTCTGATATATCATGCCTGTTTCCTTTTCAGTAAACTTTTCTTCATTTATTTTTTATAAGATTGCATGTAGGTCTAAGAAACTTGCATGTAGTATGTTTTGGGTAAATCTCTACTACTCTAGAATGATGTGGTTAATTTGTTAATCATTATCTTTTGTGAACATGTTTAGAGTTCTTATGAGACTTTGGGAGTTTTGAAAATTTTTTAAGCTTGGAGAAGCCAAGTGAAAGGTAAGAAAAACTAGATTTTGGATTTAAAAATACATCACGTTTTGAATTGAATTATGATTGGAACCAGATTATGTTTTGTTACTAGAAGAATGATATCTATGAATTAGAAATGTGTGATTATAGTAACGGTGTTGGTGCAGTAGAGTTATGAATCATTATGCAAGAAGAAAAATTAGTTTTTAGCAAATTGACACCTAATTAAATTTTTGTTGAGTTTTATGATATTTACTTAATTCACTCAAGTAAAAAATAAATAAAATTATCTGGAGTCTTTCTATAAAAATTATGATATTTATATAATTGGTTCAAACAATAATTCGTTGTTCAAGTGAAAATACAATAAAAATAAAAAATTTGTTTGAGATTAAAATTATATATAAAATTTGAAATTTTACATGAGATATTTTAACTTTGATGCTAGATTTCTAAATTTAATTTAATAAATATATATTTTAAAAGGAGAGTCAATATATTATATAAAATATTAATATTGTAATGATATGAAGTATAACTAATAATCTCATAAAAGTATGATTCAATATATAATTATTAAACATAATATAATCATTATTTTATCATATTAATTTATCCTACTTGTTTTTTCAATTATTTGTTCACTTGATCATTGTGTTTTGACATAATATTTTAAAAAGTAAATTTCAAGAAATTTAAAAGATAATTTTTTATTTATTTTACTTTTTATGAAATATTTGATTCCTATGTGAGGAAATATGTTTATTGGAATCCAATATTTTATTAATATTTCAAATTTATTGTGTTTAATATGTTTATATAAATAATTAAATTACAATTAAAAAATATTGCATGAACAGTCAAACTAAATATGGATAAAAACATGTGATATATATACAAATTTTTTAATATTAAGTTAGTAATAAATATCTTCCAAAAGTTAAAACGAAACTTAAAATAGTAATATTTATAAGATTCAAGATTAACTAGATTTTCATAAGGATTTATAACTAAGGGACAACAATATATTATATATTTCAATAAATATTTAATTATCATCAACATGAGAAGAAATTAAGAATAATTTGAAACAAGATTGTAAACCATAAACATATTATTTATTGATATTCTATCTTATTAATATTTGAATTATAATTGTTACAAAGTGTATAAAAATATATACGCAGACATTTTAATATATATGTTTTCACTCATAATTATAAAAAAATTTGATAATTTAAATATATTATGATATTATTCATAATTATTTTTTAATAATTAAGATTATATATTTTTATTATTTTAATACTGCGAGGATATCTTAACTTTTTATTGACCATGATCTTTATTAATTTGTTTTGGACGCAAAACTAGATAGTATAATACTACTAATTTTATAAACTTGTGTAATTTATTTTAATTTTTTTATATAATTTTGTTAATATTAATTTATATGTTAATATAAATATAATCATTTTTTTAGTTAATATGTTATCTTATATGTATTTATATTTATAATTATTATGACACACAAATTTATATAATAGTTATTTAAATATATTTTACATTATTAATCATAATATTTAAATATTATATATTTTTTATAAAATAAAAATATTTATATATAATGTTATATAATTTAGTTAAAATAATATTTTTATATTTTAATATTTGTAAAAAATTTAAATTAAAAGTCAATTTTTGGAAAGTTATAAATAAATTTAGTAAAATAGTTTTTTTAAACATAATCCATATTATGTTCTTTAATTATTTAATTTGTTATTTTCTGTACACCAATCAATGAATATAAATATAACTTATTCTTTTACTATTTTATCATATCTTATTTTTATATCTACTGTATTATATCTACCAGACGAGTCTTTAATATTTTATATTACTTATGAGAAAATATATACTTTCAATTCTTTGTAATA